ATGCCAACAGCCCGCTCTATGACCTGGCGCCCTGTGACCTGCACCACCATCAGGACCTTGAGATCATTGTCATCCTGGAAGGCGTGGTGGAAACCACGGGCATCACCACCCAGGCACGCACCTCGTACCTGGCCGATGAGATCCTGTGGGGCCAGCGATTTGTACCCATCGTGACCGAGGAGGATGGCCGCTACTCCGTGGATTACTCCAAGTTTGGCAACACCATCAAAGTGCCCACGCCGCTCTGCACAGCCCGCCAACTTGATGAGGACCCAAGCCTGCTGGATGTCCTGACCCTTGCCCGTGGGCCCCTGCGCAAGCGCAGCATGGCTGTGGCCAAGGCCAAGCCCAAGTTCAGCATCTCTCCAGATTCCCTGTCTTGAGCCCTGCTCCCTTGGGCCCTCCTCCGCATGTGTGTGTGGGGCAGTGTGGCATGGTATGTAGAGTAGATGTGGTGTGGACCTCTTGGCCAGGCCCAGACCTGGTGTGATGCTAGGCCCTCCTCAGCTCTGCCTTCCTGCCTGCTGCTCGCCCAGGGTGTTACAAGGCACTTGTCACTACGCTATTTCTGGCCTCAGCGGGAGCCTGTACTGGGTTATTTTTGTCCCTGCTCCTCCCAGCCCCAACTCAGGACTGGCTCATCTCCCTCCTGCTGCCCCAGGCTGGAGGAGCTGTGGGAAGTATCAGGTCCTAAAGCTGGGTCTCCATCTAGTCCTGGGCCCCCACAACCAACTGGCTGCAAGCTGGGAAGGTGGGTGGGGGAGAAGAGTCCCCAGATTGGAAGACTGCTGTTCTATGTCTGTGGCCCCAAGAGATGCCTGTGGTCAGGCTGCAGCCCCTACCTGGTCCCTGAAAAAAAGCGATGGATGAAAGGGTGGGCCCAGCCTGTTGGGGAGGGCAGTCAGTGAGGGAGCACAGTCCAGCCGGCGGGTTGGAGGTGTGGAGCCTACATGGGCAGGCTGGGGCTGACGGGGCTCCCCTCCACCCGGCAGGCTCAAGCAGGAAGGACATGTCACCAGAAGGTTCAGCTTGCTGAGCTCTGCTCAGGCACAGGGAAGGGGAGATGGGCCCCTGTGCCCCTCACCCTAAGGCTTCTTCACTGGGGGGCTCCCTGGGCTGCATCTGCTGCTCCCGTTCTGTCCCCTGCCCTGGGGAGCAGGAGTTGCTGGGGCAGACCCTGGAGTGCCAAGCTGAAAGAGGCTGAGGAGAGGCCAGGGGTCTGTGTCCACCACACTTGACAGGCCTCAGACCATACTCTGGTCCTGGCTCCCCACCAGTGGCTGCCACTCGCTTGGTCCAGAAGCCATGGAAGGTCTTTGGGTTGCTAGAAAAGGAGATGCTGGAAAGCTCAGGATGGTGGGGGTGGGCGAGGTCCCCAAGGCGAAGAAGCCCTTGGTCCTGACGGGCCTGACCCCAAGCTGGACTCTTGGAGCAGTGCTGTGTGTACTTGCCCAGAATATTGTCTTCTCCATTGTCAATAAAGCTTCTCCCTTCATGATCTCAACTCTGAACGGTTCTTGTTGGTGGGCAGGGAGGGCAGGGGCTGGCAGCTACCAGCCCACATTCCAGAGGTTCCATATTCCTGGGAGACCAGGAAAGGGACCTGGGTCTGGTCCTCTTCCCCTTATTCAGAGAGACTTTTCCTTTCTGCCTCAGGTAGCCCAGCCCTGCCAGCCTGTCTGACTATCTGTCCTGGGCACCCACCAGACTTATAGCCCTGGGTCCGGCTCCACTCCCAGGGATCTGCTGGAAGGCAAGGGAGCTCAGGGAGAGAGGTGCGGATGTCATGTGCATTAGTGTGGTGAATGGAGCATAAGCTCTCAAAACAACTGTCTGAGTTCCTATCCTGGCTCTAGTTCTAAGACCTTGGTCACATAACTTAACCTTTCTGTGCCTCAGTTGCCTCATCTATAAAGTGGGGATACTAATAGTACCTACCTCACAGAACTGTTGTGGGAGTAAGTGAAAAGCATATGTCAAATGCTTAAGTGCCTCATTCTAAATAAGTGCTCAATAAATGTTAACTCTTGTGACTGCTGTTGAATCAGCCACATGATGAGACAACTGAGCAAGCGAATGTTCAGAGAGAAGGTGCTATTATATGTCCCCTGGTGATGAATTTCTCTGCCTGGTCTTCCTTTCTACACAAGACCCCCTCCCAGCTCAGACCTTGATGACAGGAGACATGTAATTTCCCGTTACCTGTGCTTTTTGTCTCCATCTCACCTGCAGTCCTTCTGCCATGCAGCTACCAGAGTGGTCTTATTAAAAGACATCATTCCCTCCCATGTCAAGTGCCTCTGGTTGTTCCCCATCAACTTCTGCTCAAGGCTAGGCCCATGATTTCAGGATTGGCCTGCTTTCCAGCCTTACAGCTCCCTGTTCTCTGGCCGAGACCCTGTGCAACCACCCTCTCCTCTGGCAGCCTCAGTAGCCCCTCCTTGCATACAACATTGACCTTCCTACCTCTGAGCTTCTGCTTACGTTATTCCCTTTGCCTGGACTGCCCATTGCTTCCTGTTGAAATCCATAAAAATCCAGGTCAGATGATGCCTCTGTGAAGCCTTCCCTGATTCCTCTGGAAAGTGACGGTCCCCTCCCTACCTCTGTACATGTGGGCATTCTCCTTTTGCCTGTGTTGAAGTTTCTGTCTCCCTTCCTCAAGTCCATGGCTCCTTGACGCCAGGGACTGTGCCTAATTCAGTACTGTGACTGGCACTGAGTAACTGTCAAGTGAATGAATGAATGAATGAATGAATAAGTGATGGACAGTGTACAGGACAACAAGCCAGGGTCATTGCTGCAGTTTGAGGGCTTTGGTTGGATCAGTGAGAGTTTGTCCCAGGCTACTCCAGCGGCAGGACTGAAGGGCCAGAAGCTGCTGGCCCAGGCTCTAAGATGCTCCTTCCTTGCACTCACAGTCTCCCAACATTGATTCCCTTCCTTGCTGAGCTAGCCTGTTTCTGGTTTAGAGGAAGAAGGGACAAGAAGCTACTCAGTCATCCCAGGGTTCTAGGGACAATGCTTGGCTCTTGGGTCTCAGCTTGGATGTCTTTAAAGCCAGGGGCAGGGGCTTCGCTAATGAGGAGCCTCTGGCAGCACCATCCTCCGGGCCCCATCCAGAGTAACCTTCCTTCACCCACACATGTACCTTACACACTGGTGACTGTGAACCAGCAGAACTGAGGTCCCAGCGCCACCTGCTGTCCACAGACAATACCTACTTGGTCCCAGAAAATCAGGGCTACTGGTCCTATGCTTTCAACTCTGAGAGAGAGCCCAGCCTTAAGGCTTAGCTCGGGGAGGAGCTGAAAATTTCCAGGCATGGAGGGAGCGGCTGTATCAGACCTTCTGAGACCCCCCCTTGACGTTCTTGCCCACTGACAGTGCTCCCTCCGACTTGAGGCACCCACTCTTTAAGGCACTGGCCTAAACAGCACAAGGGAGCTCCTCTGAGCTCTGCTCAGCCCAGCAGAAACTGCTGTGAGAATTCTGTTTCTAACAAAAACAGGACAGCATTGGGCATCACATGAGAGCAGACAGAGCAGTCCAAGCTTGCCCACACCCTGTACACAGAACTGGTCTCCTCCAGGCCCCTCCAAGGAGAAGGGTGTATCCCATGTCACTGTGGTCCAGTGCTGAGGGAGGCACTGTTCTCTGAGCTTACAGATGAGGAAATGGGATTAGAAGTAGTGTTAACTCACCAAGATCTCACGGCTAGTAAGTGACCAGCCCAAGATTTGGACCCAAGTCTGTTTCCTGCCAAAGCCCTGCTCCTTACCCACTGCTGCACGGCCCCAGTGACCTGAGTGTCACCTTTTACTAGGAGTGCCACCTTGCTCTCAAGTGTCAAATACACCACTGGGGGACAGATGTCTCCAGACCAAGAACAAGAGGAAAGTGTAACTCAGGAAGGTACCAGATTTGAGACTGACGGCACGCTCAGCTATGGTAAGTGACGGCATGGATCATGTCAAAAACACCAAGGTAGCCAGAGGGACCTCACCATGTGTATGATGAACCCTCCATCTTCTGCCTTCTTGCAAGAGGACTGGTGTCCTTACCTTCCAGGCTACTGCCCCCATGCCAGTGAGGTAGTAGTGTAGACTGATGGGGCACATCTGCCACTCCTGTCTGTCCCCAACTCACATCAGGTGGTGTGACATTCATCCTGGGCCTCAGTCCTGAGCTCAACAGGGGAGGGAAGCCAAGCCACCCTCTTCCGGTAGTGAAACGGAATTGCCAGTCTGGAAAAACCAGCGCATTAGCCACACCGGAAACCTGCTCAGGCCTAGTAATGCCCATGGATTTGGCATCTCAAGCCAGTCACCACGTAGCCCACACGTGGCCCACGAAGATGACCCTCTGGCCTTTCTGCTGGGGAAGACTCACCCAGCTCCTACAGAACTCACTCTTCTCAGGTAAGCATCCTCCCAGCTTTGTTCTGCTCTCGAGTTCCTCTGTAACATCTTTCCTTAGGGAGAACTTTCCTGGGGAGCTCGCTGCAAGGAGCAGAGCAGCCCTGGCTCCCCTCATACTTCTGTGCTCACCTCTGAGGTCTCCGCAGGTCCAGTGTCAGACCTTTTATTGTACCAAGACTTTGGGAAAGAAGACATGCATGCTGCTGACCCCTGACTGGGGCAGGCCTGAAGAACAACAGATCCGTTTCAACTTGTAAAGAGTTGGGGAAAGGCCGAACAATGGGATTAAAGTCAGAACTGGGTTCCAGAGAGTGGGTCTGCTGCACTAGAATCTAGATTACTGGTATCCTCTCTGCCAGGTCCACCTGCTTGGGGCATTGTATATTTTCATGGAAAGAGAAGCAAGCGTTACCTACACCCTACTCTTTTTCCATTTGGGGCAGGCCCAACTCTGGAGTGATGTGAAAGGCAGGCCACCTAGACTGGCCAACTTGCATACAGGAGTGTGAACTTCTGTCTTTCGCCCACCCTTAGGTCCTTCCAGGCACTGATGCCAATGAATGGAGCAGTGAAACAAAGTGCATATGCAACTACACAGTTTATTATGTAGCCCTGCCTCTGTGTACTCTTTACTGCATTTGATCAGTTTTTCTCATAATGCCATCATAACTGGGGAAGGGAAGATACTCCAGGGTAAACCAGAGAGAAGTAAATGTGTACAGTTCTGACTGAAGCTTTGACGCAGGTCTGGTATCTGTGAAGGGAGGAAGAAGGGGTGACTGGGTAGCAAGAGTCTCAGATGACAGTGCTTCTCCAAGAAAGTCTCAGCCACCAAAGTGAACAACAGGGAACTCCGAAGATTCCTGCCGTGCTCAGCCATTGGCTAGGCAGGGAGAGCATGGCATAAGCTCGAAAGCTACAGCAGATCCCTGAGATGCCACAGCTGGAACACGGTGGCTGAGTACACTCTTCACAGCAGGCTGTCTCTTGAAGAAGGTCTCAGCAGCACATCTCTGTGGCTTTTGGGTCAAAATGCAACTTCCTGAGGAGCTATATCAGTCAGCTTTTACTGTGTAACAAGCCACCCTATAAAGCAGTGGCTTTGAAAGAATAACTAATTTCTCATGCATTTAAGAGCTGGTTCTGTTGGCGCTGACGATGATCTTAGCTAGATTTACTTCTATGTCTGGTAGCTGTCATCTGATCTAGACTGGCCTCTGCTAGAGCAACTAGCTCCAGCTTCTGGTGTCTCTCATCCTCCAGCAGGCTACCTTGGGCAAGTGTCCTCCTCTCACAAATATCAGAAGCACAAAAGAAAGCAAATGGAAATACACAAGGCCATTTAAGGTGTAGGCTTGGAAATGGCACACTCACTTCTGTCTCATCGTATTGGCCAGAGCAAGTCACATTGCCCCAAGTTTAAGGGGCAGCCCATGATTGGAGGACACCACACAATTACATGACAACGGACATGGACATAGGGAAGGGTGAAGGATTGAAGCCATCACTGCAAACCACCACAGAATCCAGGCTGGTGGTGAAGGCTTTCGTCTCTTCTTCAAAAAGTATCAAAAAGAATGACCATCCAGTACCTTAGATATCAGAAGCCAGAGGAAGGCAAGATATATGAGAACATTAACCAATATCACACGAAACATTTGAAAACCATTTTATATCTAGTTTTCTCATCGGTGTAGGGCCAATTAGGAGAATAAGACCCATGAATCAGTTGGCCACGTTTAGACAAACAGCCTTTTTTCTTGATGGATGGATTGTTCTACTTCTCCTAAAACATTTATGAGATGTATTAGCTACTGCACAGCTTCTGCCTTGGCAGGCCCATAAATAACTGGGGGCAACTTTGTTATCTCGAACAATTTAACCAACACATTTGCACTGGTCTCAACAACAGCTTATGTTGTTTTATTTGCTATTTGGGCCATAGGGATAAACATGTTTGGAAACATCTTTTAGTTTGGAAATACCCTCACTAGGGTTAGAGATTCTTGGTTAAACCTGTAAAATCTGGGGGGTAAGTGATCCCATTGAGCTATTAACAAAATATGACCAACTTGGGGAAGGACTTGCCCTCTCTGAGCCGTGGCTTCTGTATGTGAGAACAACAGTGCAGCCCGTGCAGGATTCACAGGCCTGGTGTGAACTAATGAGGTCTGGTTTGACTTCCCGTGAGACTTGTTTATTACGAGGAGGCAGAGGGGTTTTACACTGCATCTCCCCAGAGTCACAGGCCACCACACTGAGACCAGATGAGAAAGTTCTTCCCCAACATGTCAGAAAAAGCAACATACCACCAGCATACTTAGAATACTCCCCAACACCATGCATTAGCCATGCTCCCTGAACCCCCAGAGTCAACTCCAAAACACAAGACTAAACTTTGCTTTGGAGACCCTTACCTTTTACAAAGAAAACTAAAATTAATAAGATTAGCACAATAAATAACAATCCAATACATAACCCAACAATCTTCAAGTCAGTTTTCTTCTCAGATTCTGCAGAGAGAAAGAAGAGGAGAACGTTAGGAGGAACCCTACTGGCAGGGGCCAAAGACACCACATGAATGCTTCCAGGATCTGTGAGGTTGCATGTCATCTTCCCTGTCAGAGATAGAACGGCCAACCTTCTGCCACACGTCTTGACATCCTCCAACCTATCACATACACCTCCGCACATCAAAGTGTGCCAGCATGTGTCAGAAATACACTGCAATATCAAACACCACATGCCACATACACATGCCACACGTGTTCAAAGCTTCCATGCTACTGCTCCCTCCTATGTCACTTGTATACTGCTATAGGTTAAGTATCTGTCTCCCTGCCAAAATTCATATGTTGAAGTGCTAATGCCCGAGGTGATGGTATTAGGAGGTGGGGCTTTGGGGAGGTGATTAGGTCATGAGGGTGGAGCCCTCATGAGTGAGATTAGTGCCTTATAAATGAAGCCTTCAAGAGATCCCTTACTCCTTCCACCATGTGAAGTCACAAGGAGAAGTCTGAAACCTGGAAGAGGCTCTCACCTAACCTTGCTGCTGCACTAATCTCAGAAGTCCAGCCTCCAGAACTGTGAGAAATAAAGTTCTATGTATAAACCACCCTGTCTGTGGCAATTTGTTAGAGCAGCACAAAGGGACTAAGATGTATACATATCACCCAGACAAATCCTTTATACCATACATACAAAGTATATTTCATCTTCATATTCCCCATGCCCTGCACATGCTACACATCCCTTCTCACACCACTCATGTAAGCCCTGGCTCTTACTTCCAAGAACAATTTTTCTCTCCCTTCAGGACCATCCCAAGCCCCATCTGGCATACCCAGACCACATGCCACAGGGCCACTAGTCAGCTTCTGCCTTCCTTACCTCTCTCAGCTCCAGGAAGATGCATTGGACAAGCTGAGTCATCTCTACCCAGGACCAGAGCCATGACCATGGAAGCCAGGATATAAGCTCCCTGAACCCCACCCCACCAGCAGGAGGGGTTCTGTAGTGAGTTGTATTACCCTAAGCTAAGGATCCAGCATGCCTGGGGAAAGCCCTGGATATCTGCAGGACCACCCTATGATGTCCTCCCCATCTTGGGCACAGAACTACAGATTCAGCCTCTATCAGCCAACAGTTTGCAGTGGACTTGGAGCCTAATCAGAAGAGTTGCTGGCAGGGCTGGGGCCCTGGCCCCTAACAGACCCTTATCCTCAGGGGACAGTGACAGGATCTTGTCCCCTTTCTCTGCGCAGCTGGCAAGCTTTCCACTCCAAGCCATGTAGACCACCCGGAACACTTAGGTGGCCATGAGCTAACAAGTAGCCTGTTTCTACTTGAGGATTACTGCCACCACTCTCTACCTATTAGACCCTCTACCTTGGCTTAGTGACCTTGTCTGGACTGCTGACTTGGGGGCCGAGCTAAACCAGACAAAGCTTTCTCTCCTTTCCCATTGGCCCCCATCTGCCCCTAGACTGCCTGGGAACCCACGTTTTATGTTATACCTCCTCAAGATGAAGAGTAGGGGAAAAGTCCAGGAGGATGCTTACCTATCAGAGGCAGGGTGAGGTTGAAACTCTGGCCTGTGAGCAAGGATCCATGCCATACCACGCACCGGTAGCTGGTCACACTGTCTTCCAGAGCGGGCCTCAGGCTCAAGTAGCTGGTAACATTAAATGTGACATCCTCATTCTTGACGGTGGGACCAGTAATGATGCCCTCAGAAACCTCTTGGTACTGAAGATCCTTTTGGGTCCACCTTTTCCACGTTATGTTAATGTTCTCTGGATAAAACCCAGTTGACTTACACAAAATATGTCTATCTTCATTATCTTTCACCTTCTCCAGAAACAAGCTGCTGACTGGGTGAGCTGCCAGGGGAGAGAAATCATGTCTAGAAGTCATCACATCTATCCTCATAACAGGAAAAAAATGCTGAGCTGAACAAACTGCAGATCAACAGCTTTTCTTAGAGCCTTCAGAGAACTGAGGTGACAGGGCAAACCACCACCCTGAAAACTAGAGAGACAGGCTGATTGAGAGAACCACAGCCGAGATCATATAACCTTAAGCAGAAGGTACTAGAGCCATAAACTGGCAGACGCATTTACACAGTAACTCTAAAAATTGCTAAAGGATGAGTGGGGATTAGATTGAGAGCAAAAAAACTCGTGGAGTCCCAGTCTTAGGGGCGGGCCACAACACTACCATGAGTTTCACCTCCCGGAACCCCACCAGGCTCTCACTATAAAGATCCAAGAAAAATCCCCTCCTGTTCTGATCTTAGGGGAGAGAAAAAGTACCATTAAAAAATACACCCAGTGTGTTCTCCATAACAAAGGATGCTCTCAAGGGAAAAGACTTTGCCAGAGTCTTATCTGACCTGGGATAGGGATGAGGAGCCAACTCCAGCCCCCCGAGTCTTCCTGTCTCACCTAGGAAAAGCTAAATTTATACTTCCAGGATGCTTCAGTCAAAATGTCTGGAGGCAGCCCTTAATTTCTCATCCCCTTGCTAATCAAAAAGTGGCTTGTGACTTCTCCAAGCAAAACTTAAAATGCTCAGTGATCGAGTTTTACCACCTGGAGACCAGTTTTAAAATCAATTTAACTGCAAAGTGCAGAACACAAGTGGCATTTGCTATTGTTACGAACTCACATACCTCTTTCTCCATCATCTTGCATTCTAGTAGTCTCATTGATCCTATTTGAATTTTTTCCTCACATCATTAAAAAGAGTATAATCTACAGAAAACCAACAGGAAGACCTGGACTCAAATGCCAGTTACGCCATTTGCAGACTGTGGGACAGTGGGCATGCATGAAGATGATGACGCTTGTCATCGAACTCTGCCTTTTTTCAATTTCTTCTTGATTTACTGCATGGCTACAAAACAAAAATTAAATGTTGGTCACTAACTACAACTAGACTTGTCAATATTTCTCCCTAAAGAAAATATATTTCTCACTCCCTCTTTAATTAGTTAGGCTATCTTAAAAGTCACATCACAAATATTAACATTTTCTTTATATTTTTCCTCATGTGAAAAATAGATTTGAATTTAGACTTATGGTAATACAAATCTGTTAAATTAGCATTAAATAAATGCCGTTGTAAACAAATCTTGATTAAAAAAAGTAGAGCCATCTCCCAAAGGATTTTTTACCACTACTTCTAAATTGCAGTTTCTTTTAGTAAGAGTGAAATATTCTAGAGGACCACTGTCTTTTAAAATATAATTTTAATTATATATACCTAAGTATTCTATAAAATATACATGCTTCATGAAAATTTATACGTGAAACAAAACTCCAAATTCCAAATACATACCACTAAGTCAGCTAAACCAAAGACTACCTAATATCTAAAGAAATATGAAGAATGGGATAAATCAACAACAGGACTGGTACTTTCTAACAGAGCTGGAAAGAATACTATTAGCAACTCTTGAAGAAACAATGAAGGGGGAGGATATACCTCAACTGGTAGAGTGCACGCCTAGCATTTACAAGGTCCTGGGTTCAATCCCCAGTACCTCCTCTAAAAATAAATTAATAAACCTAAATACCTCCCCCTTCAAAAAAAAAAGCAGTTTTGGGGGAGGGTATAGCTCAAGTGGTAGAGCACATGCTTAGCATGCATGAGGTCCTGGGTTCAATCCCTGGTACCTCCCCTAAAAGTAAGTGAATAAATAGATCTCCCCCTACAAAAAAAATAAAGGAAAGAAACAATGGTCACTTGTAAATGCCCAACACTCATAAGTACTGGAATTTTTTATGTCCATATATAATTTTAGGGTAACAATTCTTTTCTCTTAATAATATAAATTATAATAATTTGTTGGAAGCTGTGAGGTATGTCTACATTAATATCCATTATTTACTCATGCCAGAAAAGCATTTTAAAAATTTCTCTAAGTTCTTCTACGATTATTTTTTTCTTTAATTGAATATATTTGATATATAACACTGTGTAAATTTAAGGTATAAAATGTGTTACTTTGATGCATTTAATATATTGTAATACGACTGCTGTTGCAGTGATACTGTCACATTACATAATTGTGGTACAATACTGTTGTCTCCAATTACTTTCTGATTTAACCCCAGTCCACTATCTAAAAAAATTTATCCCAGGTAAATCCCTGTCTTATCACAATACCAGTTACAGATAGAGACAACAAAAGGATATTCTAGACCATTTAAAAATATTTCCTACAGTTTAAACAAAGAGATAGGAATTCTCCATCTCTATAGAAATATACTCTGCTGAGTGATTTTTATGGGTTTTTTAAACTGAATATAAGCAGAACTCTTTTAGTTTGCTATATTTAACTTTGGGATCCATGATTTAAGGAAAAAAATCTGAAGTGTTTGAAGCAGTATGCAATGATTATTTTAAAATTTGTAAAAGGAGAACTAAGAGTTTTAAAAATTATTATTGTTAAGAGAAACAATGTAAAATTTTGAGGTATTACAGTAGATTGGTTCACTCAATAGCTTTAAACATGTAATTCTGCAATAGAGGGGTAGGAAAGTTAAATATTATTTCCCAACCTCCCTTGCAGCTAGGGTCCCAGATATGATTGGTCCAAACAATCAGATGCACTCACTTGAAACTTGTACTCAGAACCGAGTAACATGGGGAGAGAAGCAGGACACGAAGTATCCATTTTTGCTGAACCAAAGAACGGCCGAAGTGGTGTGGTTCTGGAGCTGGCAACTGTTCAGTGGTTTCCTAATCCAGGGTGTAGCTTCCTGATCTGGCAGCCAGCTTCTTGATTGTTCCAAAAGCAGCAGCTTCTTTGGCAGCCCACTCTTGTGATGCAGTTCCTAGAAGTTCAGCCTAAGTTCTGTTTTTTTAGCCCTCCCAAAGATGCCATGAGCCGTCTATTCCCCCTAACAATCCCATTCTGTTTAATAGCTAAGAAGGTTCCATTACCTACAACCAAGAATCTTAACCTGTAGCAACTACATTTGGTAGCTAGGAGTAATGTGTAGCAACTAAAAGGATCTTAAAAATGGAATTGGCTTCGTGGAGGAGGTAGGGCTTTGGGCAGTGATACCACATGCCAACTGAGGTTAAGGTATCAGAGAAAGAGGTGGTAGAACTTCAGAACGCTAGCATGTGTGGGCTGTATCTTGCCTCTTTCAGCAAAGTCCTGCAAGAGAGATGTGACTCTGGCTAGGGTGAACAGGTCTGCAGAGATGGAAAGGAATACAGCTTTGCTAAGGGAACTGCTCTCTATCTACCAAATAAATTCACACAGTCCCAAATCTGGAGCTCTGAAGAATTGAAGAAGTCAACTACTTCACTCTAAACTGAAACAGTTATAAGTAAAGGTTCTGAGGAAAGTGCCAAAGCTTTCACAACCTTTCCAAGAAACGTCCTTTAAGAATTTTCTGCCAAGTAACGAGAGCCATCCTAAAGAAAAAAAATCAGATTAAGATGATTGTCATCCCCATCCAAGCCTATAGTTTAAAACGATCCCAGGTAGGCACCATTCACTTAAGACCTAAGTGGAGAAAAAGAACACAGAGGCCAGCAAGTAAAAGATGAGGTTCATTGTCAAGAACTATGTCTTACAAGATCTTTGTGGTTTCTCATGGTAACAATTGAAGAAAACAGACCAGAAACATACTAAGACAGGGAACTGTCTTGCCAAAAAGCAGAACAAAACAAAAACAAAAACCCTAAACCTGGCCTCAAACAGCCTGTGACTATCTGTTACATTTCCCAAGGCCCCAGAGCCACACCAACAGGAAGTGAAGTGCAAAGGCTGTTCAGCCACTAAGAAGGGGACACTTTCCAATGCCCACTTGTGTCCTTGAAGATTAATGGACAATAAAAACTTCCTAGAGGGCAATGCCAAAGGCCCCTGAGGACATCGGAAAAAGGAGTTCCTCCCAGAAACATGCATCAGGGGTGGCCTGATAGAAAAATGAAAGAATGTATTTCTGGACGGAACAGAGAGACCTTGCTATTTCTGCCGAGCAGTATATTTTAAATTGTTAGAGATAGATGTCTGGTACGTTTTCTGTTTTTCCCTCTTGTAAAAGGTTGATTTTATTGCAGTTATCCTGTACCTAATTATTCATACGTTGCTCATGGGGCGGACATGCTGCTCTTTAGTTTTTAGATGGCCAAAACATAAGAAACCACATCTTGACCGGATGGACGGGACTATACTCATGTATCATGCGCTTTGAGCTACACGCAATAACGGATTGGGTTTTGGTGGTTTCCTTTTTGGGGTGGGGGAAATGAGCATTTTCTATGTTTCAGAAGAATA